GGGGGGGGGGGGGGGGGGGGGGGGGGGGGGGGGGGGGGGGGGGGGGGGTATCTTGGGTTTTCGCGATACGATATTGATGAATTGATGACCCCAATATCTCCAGTTGGGTTACAATACGACATTTCTACTTGTACCATTGGTGCTACAGAACAGCTGCTGTTCCCTTTCGGAGCACACAAAATAACTCGTCTACAACATCCTGCCAATGAAATGTTTATCGTCGCCTTCACCGATTCGTTGGGGGGGTGATATCTTGAAGTATTCGCGATACAACATTGATGCATTTATGACCTCCATCTCCCGTTGGGTACGACAGCGGCGGTCGCGACATCCGTACTGCGGTACATTGACAGGCAAACAACGACCCGGACACTACCTTATTGAGGGTTGGGGAATGCACAGCATTTAGTACGGTAGCCATTCCCTTGGGACAAGCGATGCATCGTACGCCCCCGTGGATTATGTACAATATCGGAACCGTAATCTAGGCATACATACAAGTGGTAACTGCTGTTGCTGCTGCTGCTGTGTCTCCAAAACAGGTTGCTGCCGCCAACGGCGTCGTGTGTGCTTGCTGCGCGCTGGCTCCGCGCTGGCTCCGCGCTAGAATTTCGAGTGGAGACCTCGTGAACGGGCGGCAGCACGCAGAATGCAGGCAAGGTAGACAGGCGACACAAACTGCTGTTGTTGTTGTCGTTGTTGCTCCTCCTCGGGAAAGCAGTAGTAGCCAGTGGAATATAATATTCACCGCGATTCTGCCCGCGAGGGAACGAAAACGAAAAAATAGTCAAACTCTTCCTGAAAAGAACTGACTAGAATAATCCGGCAAAAGGTGAAATTGTGGCAAGCGCATATCGGTAGTATGTGTGTACCATAGAGCGGTTTGTGTGTTCAAAAATCCCGCGGGCAGTGATTTAAAGCCAACGAAAGAGCAGACGCACACCACAGCAGTAGACGGCTCCAGTAGCAAGAGGGGTATGTTCTGTCGAGAAGCACAATGACCACTATTCATAGACTACAAGTCAGTGGCTGACTTTTTTTTTTTTCTCCCATCATTGGACTCTGTCGTCTGCTCTTCTGGCCCCTATCCTCCACTTCTACCAGCTAGACGACCCGACGGGGATCACATAGGAAGGGGGGGGTTGGACCCCCTCCTCCGGTTCCTGCCTGAGATCTTGTTATCTCGAGAAGGCTACTTGTAGTCTACGATGCCGTTTTTTTTTTTTACCCTTGACGTCCTCGACCCACTGGAGCCCCGTCTCTGGCGAACGGAAAGTTTGAGAGTAGCAGTAGCTAGACTATTAGTCTAGTGGTCATTGTGCTTCTCAACATGTTCACGTATTCACGTAGCCTACATGTTGTACGAAAATCACGACCACAATCGCTACCTAGCAAATTGTTCCCACTTGCATACCGTATATGACACAAGATAACACCCCCCTGGATAATACACCCCCTGGACCAATTTTCAAAGCTCGATTAATCCACGACTAAGAGGATGCATAAATGAAATGATACATTTTTGGAAAGCTTTCGAAGAGACGATTAAAAACGTCGCCGTAATCGGCGCCGTGACTCTTTCTGTTGTCGAGAAATCGATATTTGAAAATCGGTCTAGGGGGTGTGCTATCTTGTGTCATTTACGGTACTACCGCAGAACGCCTTCATCATCATACCTTGAAAACGTGCAAGAAGAGAATCGTCGAGTTCGAGACGCTGGGGAAGGACGATAGCTCGGGACCATCCGCAACGAGGGTCTTCGGCTGTAGCACAAGCCCCTTTGCCCCTTCTTCCCCGCCTCCGCCCCCCGGCGCCGCCAGTGGCTGCTCCAGCAGCGAGCCCATCTCCCGCTGCTGCTGCGGACGGTCCTCCGGCTGCACGAGGGGTATCCCTCCAGCAGAAGCCCGCTCGCCGCGGGTGAAGGGCACAAGGCACCCGAGCAGCAGCAGCGCGGATAGGAGCCACCCCGCGGCCGCCCGCACGCCCAGCCTCTCCAACTTCGCCGCCATATGTCTTCTACTCTCCGTAAAGCAAATAGCTTATGTTGCTGTGACGCTGAGCCCTTGGTGGAGACCCCTGCCTCCGGGTTACAGCGGAAGAATATTGCACCGTTTATCTGTTTCCGCTAAAAGAAACAGACTCCTTACGCCGGCCTCCAACAACTGGGACCAAAGATACAGCGACCTCTTTTCCACAGCAGCAGTAGGGTGGGTAAGCCCAACCCAGACAAGAGCGAGAGCCAGAGAGAGAGCACGGCCGTTGGTCTTGTCCTTTGCCAGACGACCCTCCTCCGCTTCTCGCGCCGTGGTGAGCCAACCACCCGGTCTAAGTGTTGTAGGTGCTGGGATTGATTGACCTGATCGGCGGGAAGACATCGGGCATCATCATCATCTAGGCTTTCCCCCCGTACGTAGGCGATGTTTTTTTTCCCGGCGTTTCATGGAAATTTTCGGCGTCATTTGTTCGGTGCCAAAAATACCTTTTTCGGCGATCTTCGGCGAGCGAGGATCTCCGCATGTTTTTGGCGAGTCATAGTTCAGTTTCGGCGATTGCTGGCGATTTTCGGCGACGTACATAGCTCAAGATCCGGCTTCTCCAGGCTGAAGTGGTGGAGACTCTCCTGTATGGGTGCGCCTCGTGGAGCCTAACAGCGGAGCACTACACGAAGCTCAATGGGACCCACCGCCAGTTCCTCACACGGTGCATCGGCTGGAGCAAGCGGAAACGCTCCGACCGCCCCCTGTCCTATGCCCAGGCCCTCATCCAGGCAGGCTGCGAGGAAACCATCGAGGCCACCGTGCGCAAACGGAGACTGTGTTTCGCGGGCTTCGTTATGCGCATGGAGGACAACCGCCTCCCCAAGCGCATGCTGTTAGGAGCGATGGCGGGGGGCGTGGGATACCGGGGCGGGCAGGA